CTCCCTCAGAAATCCTCCTCTTCATATTGTTTCCTTGGGCCCAGGTGTGCAGACTTCTGAGGCCAAGCCTCTACTGGGAAATCCAGCTCTGTCTTCCCACAATATTTGATATTATTGGCCAGTCACTGCTCCGCTCCTCCATTAAAGCCTTGGCCTTTTCAGGAGGGTGAAACCAGGCAGGAAAAAACTCATACAGGGCTCTAGGTCTTCAGTGCACTGAGATGAGCCAGAAGGGAGCAAGGGGAGACTCTGGGGCAGGAGGGCCTCAGAGAAAACATCCTGCCTCCGTTGGAGATGTTTCAACAAAAAATGAGTGTGAGCAGACAGGTCACATCCGCAGAAGATCTCCAAAGGGAGATTCCACAATGGAACATACCTCAAGTCTGTTGTTTCACATCCATGGAAAGCTGGGCCAATGCTGCTTTCCTTCAGCAGGTGGTCCAGCTATGCTTTCCTTCAGCAGGTGGTCCAGCTGCCAAAAGAGGGACGCCAGTTAAGCCCTGACCCCCAAGGAGATGAGCTCAGTGAGGGCAGAGACATGGCTCATTGCTGGTCCACATACCAGGGTGTTCATATTCCTTCGAGTAGCCGAGTCAGGATTCTCCAGGTCAGAAGTGTAGGGGAGGTTGGTGATGGTGAAGTTGATGGTGAAACGCTCGAGGGCAGCAGCTGTTGTTGTTGGCGGATGGGTGGGAGCTGAAAGATGTAGAAATCAGGAATGACTCGGGGCAAGAGCCTAAGTGTCTGGGCTCTGGAAGGAGAACCACTCAGGTCTCCATGCCAGCCCTGGTGTCCATGGGAATGGCTTCCATGACCTCCACATTTCCCCAAGGATATCGAGGCCAAAGCCCCACTGCCTGAGGGAAGACCCCAGGAGAGCACTTGTGCACTTCTGATCCCATCCCAGGCCTGCAAGGTACTCACTGGTCAGCACGGGCTGCTCGTTGTACCCTGGGAAAAGAGAGAGACAGAAGGTCAGGAGCTGGAGCTGGGCAAGGGGCAGCACTGGGGCAGGGC